CCGTCTGGTTTCGGGGGTGTGACAACTGCTAACTTACTTTATACATCAAATATAACTTTGAGCTTTTGGAGAACTAGTTGTTTATATAATGGCACTTCGTCATGTGTTATTATGGGGGCAGTGAAGTGTTGTTAACGTTCACCACTATCTATATCATTCTATTATGAGTCTTGACCAAATGGGAGATTGAAAGATCTTTATGCCAAGAATCATATTAGAATTATATTAATAATAATGTATGATCCTAAATGGTCACACTAACAACAACTTGATAAACATATTATTTATAAGAAATTGATTCTTTATAAATATTCATAACTTTTATAATTAATTGGGAATTATTTATTTTATGGAAATAATAATTTTCAATGGAAAATATCATAATATATCATAAAGTAGGATTTAGTAAGTCATGTACATCTTTTTTGGACTAGAAATACTTTTGTCTTTTAGCTATATGGATAAGTTTTTATATCTTATAAAAGCTTGAAATAATTTTTATATTTTTTTGTCTTCTTCACTCTCCTATTGTCATGGATTTAAGGGAAACAAAAGATATATTTCTTTTTCATTTGTTTTATCATAGTAGACATGCTTTAGAAGCATGTCTTGTGATAATAATAAACTATAGGCTTAGAGGTATGGAGAGCTTAAAGTGTAAAGAAATATTAGATAAAGATTTGGCTTTATGAAGACTTGAACTCTCTTCCTTTTCTCCTTGCCCAAAACCGCATCTTATATGCATGCTCTCACTCTATTTAGTTTTCTTAAAGATTTAGAGATCAAATATTTCACACCCCGATCCTTGTCGGAATCGATCAAGGCGTGATATATTGTTCAAAGTCTCATGACAACTAGGTTATAATGTGATTAGATTCAATTAAGTACTAAGTATGCAAACAAGATCCACAACATACAAGTACAAATACAAATGCAAACCACATTTATTACATCAAATTTAAATTGTCTTGTGGATTTCTAAGGCACAACCTATTTTTCATCATTCTTCATTCTTCAAATCTGCATCATGGGTAAAAACAGGTCAACTACGAGAGTTGGTGAGTAATCAAATTTTAGTAGAGAAAATTGTGAAGTTGAAACATTTATAATTTGAAATCTGTTTTCTTTTGAAGTCGCCAAACAATTGTATTTGAGATAACGGTTTATAAATCAAAAATTGATTAACAATTGATAACAACAACAATAAGTCCTCACCCTATATATATACATATGAATATATATAAATATATATAGGATGGAGCATCTAATCATCATACACACTCAACCACGTGTGATCAATCACCTTAGCGTCCCAAGGCGGGGTGGTCAACCCAATAACGCTATTATTGTCCATAACGTACCTCAAGAATACGGGCATAGTCATGGAGATTAGACTAAAAATGATAATGCACTACAAGTACATGTAGCGTAAACGAACAATAGTTATACAATTAATGACTCACGTATAAATGTCCCAACAATGTCTCAATTGTGATAAAACAATAAAATGAAGTTGGAACATATTAGAACCACATGATACACCCCAAAAGTATTGAAAATTATAAAATATGGGGTAGATTACTCACATTAGTCCCAAAGCGAAATGCGTGTGTCGTACGATAGACGATTCGGGTCAAAATGGCGTAGAACCTAATATAATTAATAGTTTTGGTTTAGGAACTGCTAAACGAGAATGGAGTATTAATACAAATAATTAGACACATATTCTTATATTAGATGAATTAACAATAATTCATTTTGATTATAATATTAAGGTATTTATTTGTTAAATGAATTTTAAATTGAATTACTTACTTTGCATAATTAATTTATATTTTCAATTTAGGTCAGATTTTAATAATTTCTTATTAAAATAATAACTTGCCCAATTATAATTATTTACAGATTTTAACAATTATTTATATGAAATAATCATTAAAATGCATTTTTACATGCTTAAATACTTAGGAAAATTGTTTTAAATAGTAAACAGTATTGAAAAATTATGAAATTATTAGGAAATCATTATTTCATACAATATGAATTACTGTAAAATTTGTATATTTTTCTGAACTGTTTTAGTATTTATTTAATATTTTAATGATTAAACAACACAAAATTCGGGAAAAATAGTAAATGATTCTCAAAAAATCTGTAAAATTAACCATAGTTTTATAACATGATGTAGAGCCCAGTGTATAAGTTTCAGATATTTGTGACTATGGGAAGTATTTTTTTTTATATATTTCATTATTAATTAATCAATAAAATCATAAATAATAGTAAACAGTAATATAAATGCATGAAACTTCATATATCATGTTTAATCAGTATACAGGTCATCCCAGAATTTTCTCAGAATTTATTGAATGCAACAAGTATTTTATGTGAATTATTGCCCTACTTTATTGCAATAATTATGATAATTCAATAAAAATAAGTTATTTTCTGAAAATTTCCAGAACTTCTTATTTTATTGATGGTATTCTGAGAAAAATCAGGTTTATGCAAAAAAAAAAGAGTTTTAGATATTTTGGTGGATTTAATTTGTTTCTTGTATGAATTTGAAACTTTTAACAACATACCTTGATGAATGCTTCAAGAGGGATGAAGATTTGAGTATAATAGATTGTTCTTGGATGGAATATGAGTATTCTTGGAGGAAATTTCGAGATTGAGAGTGAGAGAAAGAATAGAGAAGATTTAAGTGGTGAAGAGAATAATGTGTTGGGAGAAAAAGGAAAGGAAAGTGGATGAGATGTGTGAGTGGGAGACCATGGGAATAATCTTTTTGCTTTTGGTGGTCTTCATAATTTCCCACTAACACAAGCATCTTTTACATAATTAATATAAGAGTTTTATAAAATTTAAAGTAAAGTTTATAAAAAATAGAGTTTTATAAAATTTAATGTAAAGTTTATAAAAATGGAGTTTTATAAAAGATAGGTTATTATTTGATTATAACAATCTACTTTGATTTGAAGTTTAATTAGAGAATTCAAGTTTGATTCTTTTAATTTAATTAGAGCATTATACTTTGATAGATTTTAATATGGTATCATAATTTACTTTGATTATAGTTATAACGTTGTACAATACTATGTTGCTATTAACGTCAAGTTATATCGTATTGTATGGGTTTTGATCCTATTAGCGTCAAGTAATCTTGAGTAGGGTTTATTAAATTTCCAATTGGGTTGGGTTGACCCGAATCCATTTTAGGCGGATGTCACAAAATACTTGTATTCTCTTTTTAAGACTCTACTTGGGTTTTGTCTTAAAACTTAAGAGTTCAAGACTAGCATCTTTTCAAGTTGGTAAATTGTTGGTGTTCTACTTTGGAGGAGTTCTACTTTGCACTCTACATTATTCATCAACATCCAAGCCTCCCCTTTAGGATTCAAAGTCAACAACGGTTGTGACTCTTTTTCCCTCCATGGTTGTGTTTTCTTTCAAAATCTTTGCAAGATGATTCTTTAGTGAGAATAAAAATAGTTTATGTTATTCAAATTATAAAATGCTTGTGTTGCTATTTTTGAGTTTTAGAAACTATTTTTTTAATAAAAACCCTGGAACTTTATCTATTAGGACCATTAGGAGTTTCATATATAAATATTTGGACTTAAGGACTTAAAGGATTAAGTCCTTAAGAAGTTGGCTGTTAAGCCAGCCTCATGGCGCGAGCTTTTGGGGTATATCGCGACTATTTTGTCGCCTTATGGTCATGACACAACCAAGAGTTAGTCATAGCGTGATGATTGTTAACCTTGACCGTTGGCCATGACCATTGACATTGACCGTTGAATTTTGACCAATTTGACTTTTGGTAAAACTTCTTGGGATTTAAGTTATATACTAAGCTTTGGCCTCTAGTTGGTTTAGGTGGTTCATATAGTTGATTCTGCGAGACTTCAATGAGGGTCATGTTGGGACATTACAAAAATAAGGGGTCTATACATCAACCTACTGCCCCGAATGACGAAGCCATTCACCCAGAAATACTGCATGAATTGTGCAATCCTGAACCCACCACCAACTTCGATCCGATCTTTATGATTTTATTGAACATGCCTACATTCCATATCCGAATAGCTACTTATTTTATATTGTTATTTTAGGATTTTAATTGTGTTGTCTTTTTTGATTGTGTTTTTTTATTAATTATTGTGTATTTTACTAATCATGTATTATTATTTTTATTTGTATTAATTTTTTATTAATTAAAAAATAATATGTTTTATTTGAGTATTTTTTTAATTAAATTAAATTAAAAACAATCAAATTAAACGAGTTAGAAAAAATAAGTTGGAAAAGAAGGAAGGGGAAAAAAAAGAGAAAAAACTAATATGAAACGATGTGAATTAAATAATTTAGAGAAAATGTACCCTCCACTCTAAGAATTTTGTTCCAACTTTAATTACCAAAATACTAAATTGGTCAAACCAAACTCATGCTATCTCATCGTGTTGTTTCTTTTCCATATTGGTCCCGCCTATCATATCAACTTTATAGAAAAAAAAAATTCTTTGGTATTATTATGGTGTTGTAACAATTATGAAATATTCATGAGCATTTTGTATTTTTCTACAATATTTCTATTTCGAGACTTGAATAATTACACTATTAACTTTTGTACAAATTGTATTTTATTTCAGTCACAAAATTTATTTATTTACTATTTATTATTATTATCTAATAAATAATAAAAATTCTAATTCTAATTCAGTTGTTACACAATTTTTTAAAACTTAATAACTTATTTATGCAGTCATATTATATATTTTTATAAAAAATACAGATCAGAATAGATTTTCACCAATGATTTCAATTTCTAAAATCTTCTTATAGGATACAAAAAAGTATTGGCATTATTTATACGAAAGAATATTTTTTGTAAACTAAATTAAAACATTGTATTATTCATGAGGCCATGAAGTGAGAAGAACTCAAAGTTAAGGGGTATGTAATGCAACTAAAGGAAAAGACCGTCGTTGTATTTCAGTCGTCTCTACTCTCTAGTCTCTCCATATGTTTTCCAGCTGCAGTAACTACTGTTTAGCTCTCGTTAAAGTTTCTCGAGTTGCCAAGTAACACGGCATTTCTCGATACTCTCTATCTATGGGTACGTGTTCTTAATCGCTGGATCTTATGCTTCATTTCGATGTTCTTTGATTCCTAGAGTTTAGCACCGTACTGATTCAGGCATTTCAACTTCGTTATTTTTTTTTTGTTCTCGCACAATGTTCTTGCGATTAAACTCGTTCTAGGGTTTACCTCTTGATGCATCAATCAATTCAAGTTTTCGAATGCTATGATGTTGTGTATAGGAGAAATAGAGAGTAGCGCTCATATAGGAATCTTATAATGGCAGAGCATTGTTTAAATAAGGTTATTTTTTCTTTTGAAATGACAGAAAGCCTGATACTCTGATACTCTGATTGGTGATTTAGGTGGTGAGACCACCGGAAAGTGTTTGAATTGAAATCAACTCAAAGCTAATTCATTTGTGACCACCGTATTCAACTGATTGGTGTCTGTGAGTTCAAGGGAGACTAATAGGGTGTGTGGATTTTTTTTTTTGTTTACATTTACCTTCTCAATAATAAATTTATTTCTGTTGAAGTTAATAGAACAGTTGGCTCCTCCTGCTTGAGGCTTAAGGTTTTAGATAAGTTGGAAACTTAGGTCTTGGCTTTAAGTCTCGGTGCCCGCTCTTATTGTCACCATTTTATTAACAGAGTATATAGCACTTTGTTTGATTTGCACAAATAGATGTAAAATACACATACCTATTTATAGACGAGTGGCTATCTTGATATGGTTCAGAGGTTGATATTGGATTCATGTCTGTTGCTTGTATTTGCTCCTTGTTATGTTAATAATTCAAAGAACACTTGATTTAGCTTGTATGTTGAGGGAGAGTTTGAAAGTAGACGCATTCTTCAGCCTTCTATCTTCCGCTTTAAGCTTTTATATGAGTTAGTAAGCTAACAGGCTGTATGTATGTTTGACATGTTGCAGTGAATATGGTTAAATCAATGTCAATGTCATACTTGGGGATGATGGTATTATTATGGTGGTTGGCTGTGGTAGTGGTGGCAGAAGATGTTAAGTACAAAGATCCAAAACAACCTGTTGCTGCTAGAGTAAAAGATCTGTTGGAAAAAATGACAATGGAAGAGAAAATTGGTCAGATGGTTCAGATTGAAAGGATTTCAGCTACTCCTGATATCATGAAGCAGTACTTCATTGGTAAATAATGTGCACACTATGTATACAGTTGGTTATTCACCTTGCAGTTAGAAATATCAAACAGACAGCATGCTTAATAAGATCATTTCCTTTTTCTTTGTTTTGCTTAAAGCCTTAAACTCAGTAGAACAATAAAAGATTTGTTATTAACTAGAAGAGGAAATGCTTTGACAATAGTTTAGGAAGCAAAAAGAATCATTTTCTAAACCTATATGATCATCAATGCAGGAAGCATGCTAAGTGGTGGAGGGAGTGTTCCGAATCCACAAGCAACTGTCGTTGATTGGATTAATATGGTGAATGGGTTCCAAAATGGGTCACTTTCAACCCGTTTAGGGATCCCAATGATTTATGGAATTGATGCTGTTCATGGGCACAACAATGTCATTAATGCTACCATATTTCCACATAATGTTGGCCTTGGAGCCACCAGGCAAGTTTGAACTTGTAATACTCTTGTTGTTTTTCTTATTTATGTTTCAAGACCAATATTGATCAAGTCAAAATATTTTGATGAATGAAACATAATTTATCCAAGACATTATTAAACTTGTTACAATCTTCGATGCACACACCAGGGACACTGATCTTGTGAAGAGAATTGGTGCTGCCACTGCTGCTGAAGTTAGAGCCACTGGCATTCCATATGCATTTGCTCCTTGTATTGCTGTAAGTATATATCTTCTTTTTGGCATTAATAAAGGCAAGGTTTTATTAATGTCTTGTGTTTTTATTTATAGGTATGCAGAGATCCAAGATGGGGACGATGTTATGAGAGTTACAGTGAGGATACCAAAGTTGTTCAAAGTATGACTGACATTATATTAGGGTTGCAAGGTGAAATTCCAAAGGGATCTCGGTTGGGTGTCCCATATGTTGCTGGAAAGTATGTAATTGTAACCTTTCATAGATATTTTCAGTGCAAAAGACATGAATGCCCTCCTCATCTTCATTATCAAAATTAGCCCTCCAACCATATTGTTTGTGTGTGTGTGTGTTAGGGACAAGGTTGCTGCTTGTGCAAAGCACTTTGTGGCTGATGGTGGGACACTCATGGAATTGATGAAAATAACACAGTGGCCAACCAACATGAGTTGCTAAGTATCCACATGCCCCCCTTACTATGACTCAATCATCAAGGGTGTATCAACAGTCATGGTCTCCTATTCCAGCTGGAATGGTAAAAGGATGCATGCCAATGGTGATCTTATTACTGGATACCTCAAGAACAAGCTTAATTTCAAGGTATATTTTATGTTCTCCTACTAAAATATCAACTTTTCAGGTTGCTGTTATTCATACAATTCCCCTTCCCCTCCATTTTTTTTTTGGAGTTTGAAAGCTTAACAGTTATCCATTGAATAAATACGTTGACAAAGGGTCTTTAAAAACAAAATTTTGGAAGGAAATTGAAGGAATTGGTGTTTGCAGGAATCTGTCATGCGTTTGGTTGGCTGTTCAATTCCATTCCTTTGTATGTGTCTTTTGGTTTATAAGTTTGTCAAATGATTTGGAATGTAAATAATGATAAATGACGGGATTGCCCTGGATTATTTTTTGTTTTGTATGCTCCACAAGCTTTAAGCAGTAGACATTTAGTTATAAAGTATTGGGGTTTAGGAAGGTTATTTTAGTCATTTACACAAATGAAGGGAGGATTGGAATTGAATTCCATGAAATGAAATTGATGGGATTTTCTGAATTCAATCAGTAGTTGTGCTACACAACTCTATACTTATTTTCAACCAAATTACGGAGGGGTAAATCTCACAAAATCCAGCTAACCAAACACCCCCCTTAATCTCTAGAAATGGGCTTTTTGAAAAAGAACCATAAAGGGAGGCCCTTTTTTTGAAAGAGGAGTACTTTTAAATTTGATTGATTTTTACTGTTTAATGAGGGTGAAATATTATCAGGGTTTTGTTATCTCAGATTGGGAAGGAATCGACCGAATTACTTCCCCTCCTCATTCCAACTACACTTACTCTGTCCTGGCTAGCGTCTTAGCTGGCATTGACATGGTTAGTAGCTCTCTCTCTCTCTCTCAGAGGTAAATGGTGTAGATTCTTGTAAGTAACAAAACAAGAATTTGATATTCTTGATCAGGTGATGGTCCCTAATAACTACAAAGAGTTCATTAATGATCTCACATATCTGGTGAAGAACAACTTCATCCCAATGGAACGTATTGATGATGCTGTGAGCAGAATTTTACGAGTCAAATTTACAATGGGACTGTTTGAGAACCCTCTTGCAGATTTCAGTCTAGTTAACGAGGTTGGAAGCCAGGTCAGTGTCAGTGAGTCAATTATCCAATTCCCAATGCTCCATGGTTTTTGATATACTTGCATTGGACTAAGACAGGAACCGATGTCAATGGGACAAAAATTTCAACTTTTTTGTCCCACTCCCACCCAAAAGCCTGCAATTCATCTCTCGTCAATGCAAAAAGACGTGAATGCCCTCCACATCCTCATCTACAAGCTTCTGACCCACCTTCTTGGGTGGGAGTGGGACAAAAAAAAAATTGAAATTTTTGTCCCATTGACATCTGTTCCAGTCTTAGTCCAATGCACGTCAAAGGCTGTAGTACAAATTGTTCTGTCGCAGGGCCTTAATTTCTGTCTTATTTATTTGGTTTTGAGAAATATAGGCACACAGAGACATAGCAAGAGAGGCAGTAAGGAAATCGCTAGTGCTTTTGAAGAATGGGAAAAGGACAGATGAACCAATGCTACCACTCCCCAAGATGTCATCAAAGGTTTTGGTTGCTGGAAGTCATGCTGATAATCTGGGCTACCAATGTGGTGGTTGGACAATCGGTTGGCAAGGATTTAGCGGGAATCAAAACACCACAGGTTACTTTCCACCAAATTCACAATTATTTTGGGTTGTTTTTATAATATTGATAAAAATGCAGGAACAACTATCCTAAACGGAATCAAATCTGCTATTGACCCCACCTCCGATGTCACTTACAATGAGAATCCCAACACTGAATTCATTAAATCAAATAACTTCTCTTACGCCATAGTCATCGTTGGTGAACATCCTTACACCGAAATGTTTGGAGATAGTTCAAACCTGACAATCGCGGATCCCGGTCCAAGTGTCATCACAAATGTTTGCAGCCAAATAAAGTGCGTTGTCGTCATCATATCCGGTCGCCCGGTTGTGATCGAACCGTATATGTCTGCAATCGATGCTTTGGTTGCCGCTTGGTTACCTGGCACCGAAGGCCAAGGTGTGGCGGATGTTCTTTTCGGTGACCATGAGTTCACCGGAAAACTTCCCAGAACTTGGTTTAGAACTGTAGACCAACTCCCAATGAACATAGGAGATCTGCATTATGATCCCCTCTTCCCCTTTGGATTTGGACTCACAACAAAATCAGTTATCGACAGGTAAATAACGTTGTTAGCAATTCATTAATTTCATGTCTTTCTTGATATTGACATAACAGGCTATACCGTGTTTGGGCAGGTCAATATCTAGTGGGGCCATTGGAACACCATCTGTAGCTGTGGTTTTGGGTTTGGTGGTTATCGGTTTTTGTTTATCGCAAAGGTACATTGCCTAACTCCTCGGCTTCTAGTTTAGATGATATGCTATGTACTGTATCATTTTGTAGACTTTAGGGGAATTATTATTGTAAGAGGTGTTCTGGATTTTAGACTTTTAGTTATGTGATTGTAGTCCGTTGGGTTGAATAATTTGAGTTTTAGAGATGAGACGATTTTGTTATATTATTTTTCATGATGACATTTCATTTCAAGATATAATTCTCATGTGTGTACGTAGAAAATAAGTATTGATAAGATAAAATCCACGTCAACAAAAATGTGTACAAGTTGAACGGTGTTTTGGATGTTGACTTGAGTAACAATCTCATATACTTTTGGACGGATCTTGTAAAAAAACCGATCCATTTCCTACTTTGATTATTTATGCACTACGCCTGTTTATAATTAAATGGTTTTAAGCATAATATATATATAAGTAAGATCTACCATTCATAAATTAATATTTCTTATACGAAGTTTATGTATAATTTATAAATTGACTATAATTTTATAATTTAATATTATCTTAAATATTTCCCATTTTCGATAAAACATTAAATATACAAATTCAAATGAAAGCCATGTGAAATTTTGCTAAATAACATGTCGACAATAATGTGTCATAAATTATTATTATTATTTTTGTTGTTACTGAAATGTCAAGTTTCAACCATATCCCCTTCTTACCAAATGGCAAATACCAACCCACCCACCGGCGGTTAGACTTGCCACTCTTTAAGTCTCAAGATCATTTAAATGAAAAGAATAATATTACAACATCCGATCCGAGAGTTGGAATGTTTGTTTGTGGGTTGTTTTCCGATAATGGATTTTTTGTGTGTTGATTGTAATGATAACAGGCTCAAGCATCGAGGAAACAAAAAATATGAGTTTATCCAAGGTGAAGGTCAAGAGATGGTCGGAGTCGGAGGGAGCCTTCATCGTTGAAGCACTTCCACTTCACCTCGTCGGAAAATCTGAATGGGTGGGGTTGAGACTTGGGCTGTCTAAGCCTACTTGGTATATTTTATCTCGACTGGAGCTCCCCAAACCAAAAAGCTCATTTATTGGTCCTAGCGGCAGCGCAATTAAATATTTTATGGGTTATTCATTTTGAATTGGAGACCCGACCCATTTTCATGATCTAGTTTCTTCTTCTTGGGATCTCAATGGGCTTTTCTAGACTGATTTACTTCTTGTTTGTTGTATTTATTGCTACATTATTCAAATATAAAACGCCGATGTCTGCTTGCTTTCCTTGATAACCAGAAAGGTTGCTAGAAGGAAGCGAGGGCCGAGGGCCGAGGTCATCATCAACAAACAAACAAACACTAGTTAGGGCTAGAACACCTTCGGTGCAACTCTCACGTCAGATGCTGAGACGTTTGGTGGTTTCCGGTCATGATACATAAACTTGTATACATTGATGATCTTTTTATGACATAGGCATCATAATTCATTGATGACAAAATGGGGAAAATGGTTATGTGGTTTGTCATTCTACATGGCTAGGGGTTCTATTGTTTCAAAATTGCAAATTTCATATTTTTTAACTGGTGTCGTAGATTTGATCCTGTTAAAACTAAAAACATTTTTTTTACTCTTATTATTTAATTTAAAAATATTTTCTTTAATATTTATTATATATTTAATAATTCTAAAAAAAATACTAAATAAACCTCCACCCAACCCCATCCATGCAACATATTTTCCTCTCTCAGCTACCTCATTAATCTTCTTCATTTTCTCTGTATTCAATCGTGAGGTTTGATTTTGTGCACACTCGTCTCTTATGGCTCCTATGCCTTCTTGATTTTGTGCACACCGTCTCAGTTTCAACTAAAAAAAAAACATATTGAACCCTAATTATGACGTCAAAGAACCCCATTGACCAGATTAGTGACTATCGTGACCTAAAAGATAAAACACATTTTGGCTTTGAAGGTTAACTCTGATAGTCATTATGTCAGAGTCAGAACTGAAATCGGGTTTCTTGATTTCACCCTCAATGGTGTTTCCGAAGATTAAGATCTTGATCAGTTTTTACAAAAAAATTGTTCAACCTATAATCCATGGTGTCAATTTTGGCACTAAATGTATCATCATGATGTATGTCCCTAATGGTTCATGAAAGAGTCGTACTATGTTTAGAGCACTAAGCAATATGGTATCATATACTATGTTCGAGGGTGTCGGTACTAGGAACTAGTGTTGATTGGTTGAAGTTAAATACGTGATGTGGTTTGGTTATGGTGGTGTTCGAAGGATATAAAATTTGACTGAACTTCACCATCATCACCATTATCACCATTATGATAATGAAGTTGTTCATTCATCTGGGTTTTGTTATAGAATTTGTTCTATAGAAAAAGAGGTAGTGTTTGAAGCACATGAAGATCATCATCATCGTCACCATCATCATCATCATCATCATCATCATCATAATTGTAACATCCTAAAATTTTATGATCGAGTTCTTAAATTAATAAAGAAAATAAATGAAAGATGATTTATATAGTTAAATCATCGAGGAATAAACATATCATTAGTTAATATGAAGTCTAGAAAGTTAGAAGTGAAAATAATAACATTCTAAAAGTTAAAGGACCAAAAGTGCCAAGTTGGCAAAGTGAGTTGACCAGAGGGGTTGAATCAAGTAATGGGTAAAAAAAACAGGTTACATAATGGATGGAGGAGGTCTTGTTATGTCAAAGTTTAAGTTAAAAATCATAAATATGAGTTTAAGGTAGAAATTGGCAAAATGAGCAAACTTGAGGGACCAAATGGTAATCTTTTGGAAATAAGATGCATTCTCCTCCCCCCTTTCACCAGATCGTGTTTTGCAAGCAATGGAGGAGCTCTAATGGCGATTTCTTCATGTTTCTACATCAAGAGTTTGATTCAAGTGAGAATTTGAGCATCCAAGCAAAATACTTTTTAGGTATAATTTCTCCTCCTCTAACTCTATTTCCGAGTTCATGATTGGTGTTGAACCCTAATTTCGAATTTGGATTGAATTAATGATTAGGGTTTTGATTTATAACCTCCATTGGGTGATTTCAATGGTTCCAATCTCAAATCAATCATTACATGGATGGTTTTGGTGATTTGGGTAAAAAGTCAACCAAAAACCCTAGAAAACCCAAAATTATGGATATTGCAATTGATGATGAAATGAGATTGACTTCTATGACCTAGATGATATTTGATAGCAAAAACTCAAATTGAAATGCTCAAATTCATCCATGATGCTAGAATCAAGTATAAACATGGATTTGTATTGATATTGGGAGAAAGTGTGATGACAACAATGAAATCCCTTGTATGTGAGCATTTGATGAGTGTATGATACTTATAAACATGAGTTGACACTAATAACATGATTTGAATGCAAAAAAATGAAGACTTGAATGATATATAGTTGAATTTATGGAGTATTTGGCCATAAGGGCATTTTGGGAATTTACTATGGAATTGAACAATCCCTTTGTTGTTAAGAGCTTAGTATATGATTAGATTGTGTTATAACAAGTTTTATGCATTAGACAACACCCAATGATGTAATAAATGATTTGAGAATAAGTCATATAGGTTGAAGAATGTTATTGGGCAATTTAAGCTCTTAACCCTTTTAAAGTGTTTATAAGCATTGGAGTGTAATGATGGAATTGAGGATTCCATGGTTAAATTAAACACTCACAATGAGATTTATTATAGTTTTATATGCTTGACCATATTTATATGAGTATTCAATAACTTGGGAACAAACATTGTGCACATTGGAATGTTCAAGTGAACAATAGACTAGTAAACCCTTTTTATGGAATTTGAGAACCAATATATTCTTAAATGGGTTTCAATGAGCACTTAATAAATTAAGTGAGATGTTTTAAATTGATAAAACGCCTACTAATCATGTGTGAGGACCCATACAAGTGGTGTAGAGTGGGATGTTATTATGAGAAAAATTACACTTTTTGGGCATACATACCATTCCACACGACCTGTGTGAAATTCCACATACCTAGTGTGGAACCTCCTGTTCGGGAAATGTTGTTTTGCTCATAACTTTTGCACACAGACTTGGATTTATGCGCGGTTTTTGCCTACTTTTATATTTTTCCATATGGAAATTGTCAAAAAAGTACCAATATTTTCGGGAAAATTACACTTTAGCCCCAAGTTTTTTTTAACATAAAAGTCCTGATTATTTCATTTTGGCTCAAATTAACAAAAAATTTCTTTTTTTCTTTTAATAGGAAATGACATATTATCGTGTTTTTACAAATAATCAGGACTTTTATTTCAAAAAAAACTTGGGACTAAAGTGTAACTTTTCCGAAAATATTGAGATTTTTTTGACAATTTCCCTTTTCCATAAGGAATGATACGAGACAATAAAATTTAGTAATGGAACACATGAGGGGTATTTTGGTCATTTTAATGACTTATGTCCATATATGGTGTATAATATTTGAAGATGATTGTTATAGGGAAAGTGTAACATTCAGTATCAGGTACATTTCAAATTTTAGCTAAAGCCCAAAATATTTGAATTTATAGCCCCTAAGCTCGACATAATTTAGAGCTATGCCCCACATAGCTCATTTAATTTTGATTGCAACTTTGGACTAGTACGTTGGGCGTACATGTAGGTACGTTATGCGTACTCGTGTAAGGTTTAAACCCTAATTTTTAGGGTTTGGACCCAATTTAAAGGACTTTACAGCCTCAAACCTTCCCTTACCTCTAGTCTCCACCCCTTTAACCCTCATCTCAAAACCCTAATCCTTATGTGCAAGTTTTGAAGCTCTTGAGTGTTATTGGTGGTGAAGGAAGATCCTTGAAGAGGTGGTGTTGTACTTAAGCTTTTGGATCCAGATCCTTCTCACCCTTGTGCATCTTCAGAAGGTATAAAGTTGAAATCTTGATGCTTGCCTTGATATATCTAGTTAGGTGAAAGTTTTGGCCTTTTTCTCCCAAAAAATTTGATCTCTTGAGTATTGTTCATTTCAGACCTTTTGAGTTGTCCTTTCAAGCATTTTAGAGTGTTTATTATCATAAAACTTCTAGCCTAGTCCTTAGTTTTCCTCCATGCAAGAGTTATGGAGTTTTAGATGATAATGTAAGTTGGGGTTTTGGTTTTGAGCCTCATTTTTCCATGCAAAGGTATAAAGGTTGCAAATTTATGATTTTAGACGTTTATTGGAGTTAGATATGAAGTTTGGACGTTAGGTCTTAAAGCATTAAGACCTTAATATAAGGTCAAGATCTCTGATGCGTACGTTGGGCATAACCATAGGTACGCTGCACGTACTGGATCTTTTCCGCGTAACCTTTCCGCATCAAATGTTGTACGCAGGGCGTAATGGGTAGTACGTTGGTCGTACTACCAGGAAACACTTTTGGGCCATTTTTGGGCCTTTGTCCATTAGGGGTTGTGGGCCTTGTCTAGTCGGTTCATGAAAGGGAAGGGCAAAATGGTCTTTTTCCCTTAGATTGAGAAACGATGAATTAGACCTTCGTTTATGGATTAATCTCGATTATTAATTAGGATTGTTATTGTGTTATGTTTAGTGTGAGGAGCCGTGTTAGCAATAGCTCGAGTGTATGATTTAGTTATCTTCAGTTAGAGGTGAGCCTTCTTACCACACTAGTGGGTCGAAGGCACCAAGGTCGGACCACTGATATGTATGTGTAGGGTGTATTCCATCATGTGACTATTACTTATGTGCTTGTATGATATATGCATGGAGCCAATTTGGTCTTGGAGTCATTATGTACTCGGGCTTGATGTGGACCCGGGGGTTGATACGGACCCGACACATTCATTTGCTGTTACATAGGGTTGATACGGACCCGAGGGTTGTTACGGACCTGAAACAACCACGTGCTGTTATATTTATGCGTATGATGTATATGGTATTTTGGGGAAGCTCACTAAGATTTGTGCTTGCATATATGTTTTTGGTTTCAGGTACTTCCGATATAAAAGGGAAGGGCCCGACGTGATGACACATCATCCTCCCCCTCACGATTTTCCGCATTTTATGATCTTTGTTACTATGATATTTCGTGATAGTTTGTATTTTGGATGTTTTTTGAGACATTTGATGTTTGAATTGATGAATTGAAAAATGGAACTTTTACTCATGGATTTTGGGTCGTTCCACAAAGGAACTAAAATAGGACTAGATAACCTTCGTGTGATTGAGGTGAGTACGTGTAACATTCCGTTTAAATTAATTAAAATAAATAATAAACCCGGAGCCCCAAGATGTAAGTTTATAATTTATATTATTTTATAGTGGCCCTAAAACCAATAATATTTAGTGGAGAGTGGTTTCGGCGAGCCAAATGATATATTTTAGACTTTCGGGGGTCAAAGTGTAATTTCAGGATGCATTTTGTAAAGATTTTTAGAAGTTAGGGTGTGTTTGGTAAGTATTGGACTGGATTTGAAAGAGATTTCAGAAGGTAGGGGCTAAATCGTAAATTTTGGATTCACTTTGTAAAGATTTCCAAGGGCAAGGGCTAAAGTGTAAGTTTTGGAGTTAAACTGAAAACAAAATTTTGAGGAGGGGGCTGAAGTTGGATATT